TCCCTCCTTCTTTTCTTCTTTCCTTCTCTTTCTCTCCCTCTTTCCTTCCTTCTTTCCTCCTCTCTACTCTCTCTCTTTCCTTCCCTCTTTCCTCCTTCTGTGGCCCAACTCTAGTGAGAAGGGGTTTAAACTTTAAACCCCTTCTCTCTTCTTTCCCCCCCCCCACAGGCCAGCTGGGGAAGGGAAGGGGAGGCTTCTGACTTCACTTCCGGTGATGTCAGGGGGTGTGACATATGCTAATGAGCTCCTACAGCTCTTTTTCTACGAAAAGACCCCTGCTTAGGCTTTATTGCCAGATGCAGAGTACAATAGGCGAGTTACTGGCTGTGAGTTAGTTAGGAGATAGTGAGCGATTTCCTCTAAGAGAATGGACTGTGCTCAGTTTTAGAACAAATACATGATTAGCATACAAGCAAAATACAAGAACTATCACAACATCACATAATGAAGTTCTTCTGAAGCAACCCAGGGAACCTGGTAAAAACTCGGGATGAGCACAGGCCTGGTCTGCAAACCCCGAACTGTGTTTCAAAAAAGGAGCCTTCCCCAAACACTCACCAACCTTCTGCTCAGTTTGGGTGTTCAGTCCCTGACATGCCCACACCACTTCTGGGTGGTGTTGGGTGCCGCCCCTGGCATGTCTGTGTCATCTGGAAGTGACACACGCATGTCACACAATGTGTTCACATCACTTCTGGGTAATGTGGGCACACCTGGGCCACACCCAACACCACCTGGAAGTGATGTGAGCATGTAGGGGGTGATGAGCTTATGTCCCTTCTGAATGATGTGGATGCACTGGGGGCAGCGCCCAATGCCACCAAGAAGTGATGCAAGCATGTCATCAGGGGGATCCAAACCAGTTCTGTTTGGGCAGGGGTTCTGGCTCAGGGGTTCAGTTTGGGGCTTAGATCACGGCAGCCCAGTTCATGAGCTCCAAACTGAATCGGTCTTTCCCGGTTTCTGCCCATCCCTAGTAATAATTCAAGGTTGGAACCAAGCTGTTCTGCAAGCAGTGGTACAGAGGGCAGCTTTCTAACGGAGCACTCAGGAGGGAACAGGAACCTGGAGCAGCACCCATTCTATTGTCATTTTAAGGTGCTATATTATAAACTTATTCCTGTTATTTGGACCCTTTACAAAAAGTTGTCAACATTGCATCTAAAACAATGCCCCCGGTCATAAGCAATGCACTAGGATAAGAAGTGTTTCTACCACCCTGAACATTTGTTTGGAAAGCTTGGTGTAAACATTTTCAACATGGAAACTGTACCAGTAGAAGCATGCACTGGCTTTCCTTTGCGGCACCGCAGCAACCCAGAAAACCAAGCACCATGATGATGGAGCCCACGGCGATAAGGAGGTAAACTCCAGAAAACATGCTGTCATCGATTTTGAATTCCTGGGAAGACAGAGAAGCAGAGTCTCAAATACACCTCAAACAGCTGGAGTACACAGTCAGGATTAATTCTTTTCTAAAGCAATCAGGGGGCGGATCAAGGCTGCATGTGGTTGGGCACACAGATACGAGCAATCTGTCGACTTCCTCCAGACTGAGCGGGCTAAAACAGTCCAAACCCAGCATTGAAGACGTGCAAGGGGCCTCGAGTTTGCTCACTGTTTCAACTGTGGCGGGGAGATCGCGGCGGAGCACGAAGACTTTATCCGCAAAATAGCTCGCAAATGCCTCACAGCCAATATCCAATTCTAAACAATTGGGTTGGGCGTGAGCTCGCTGACGCAATCAAGGCCGCATAGAATTCCTTCTTAGCGGCCTTGGTTGCCATCTCATAGGATCTCATAAACGTCCTATAAAATGCTCTTGTTGCCTCGTCGCGGGCATGGCGCCACCGTCTCTCTAGCCATCTGAGCTCTTGCTTCATCAGCTGCAGCTCCTGGGTATACCAGGGAGCCAGCCTAGAGCGAGCACGCAGAGGGTGCCAGGGAGCGATATTGTCGATGGTTGTGGAGAGCCGGCTATGCCAGTCCTCCACAAGTTCATCCAACGAGCCACCAGGGGGCCTTGGATCCCGCAGAGTCATCTGAAGCTGCTCCAGGTCCATTTGGCTCTGCAGGTGAGCTAAAATCTGCTCGCCGCCTAAACAGGGTTGGGGTGGAACATTCAGACAGGCATTCAGGGCAAAGTGGTCCGACCATGGTACTGCTAATGCAGTAATCCGGTCCACTGTTACTCCAGCCACAAAGATCAAATCGAGTATGTGCCCAGCCTGGTGAGTGAGGGTCTATGCGAATTGGGAGAGTCCTAGTGCTGCCATGGATGATACTAGGTCCACTGCCTGACTGGACACCGCATCATTGGCATGGACGTTGAAATCACCCAGGACCAAAAGTCTAGGGTGCTCCAACACCCAGCCTGATATGGCCTCCATCAGGGACGGCAGGCTACTGGCCGGTGCGTTAGGTGGTCAGTACACCAGCCAGATTGCCAACCTCTCCTCAGCCTCCAACACCAGGCCGACACACTCAATGCCCGTGATCTCCAATGGCGGAAGCACCCTGAAGGAGTAAGCCTCCTGAATGAAAATAGCCACTCCTCCCCCCACCCCCTAGGCCATGATTGATGTAGGACCGAGAACCCAGGCGGGGCAAGTTGGGAGAGAGCTACGGTCTCCCCATCCCGCACCCAGGTCTCGGTCATGCATGCCAGGTCCACCTTTTGTTCTAGGAGACAGTCCCAAAGGATTGTGGTCTTATTATTGATGGACCTGGCATTGCATAACACCAATGTAGGAGGGGGGTTATCAATCCTGGCCCCACTGCTGACAACCTTTGTCATACTTGTTTAAGCCCTACTGATCCTCCCATGGTACGTTCTTCCAATAAATAACCACACAATTGATCCTCTATTTGTATCATCATTAAAAAAATGAGATTGTTTTGGGGGCACTTAAATAGCTCAAGCTATCAACAAAGAATTTTTCATTAATGTATCAAAAGTGCACACTTTGGAACACTATTACCAGTTGCTATCACCCATCAGCTTTGATCCTGATAGAAAAAAATTATTTCTACACTAAAAGAAACATTAGTGAAAAGAAAAAAAAATGTAATGAGGCTGTCGGTTGCAAGTGGCATTTGAGTTAAAGCAAGCAGCTCTGAACATGGCACCAAAAGCAGCTTCCAGACTCAATAGATTAGTCTGCTGATGAATGCTGACTGTGCAGGTGCGCCATATATTGTAGCCCAGAGGCACTGCCTTACTCATGGGTAGTCCTAAAAAGTGGGGCACACCACTTCTGACCTGAACTAGAGACCCACAAAAGTCAGGCCAAGGAAGGCACTCCTGACCTGAAACACAGAGCTAGCCAAAAGTTCTGGAAAAGGGTCTCCATTTTGAGGTGGCACAAGGCAGCCCTCCAAGGCAATCTCCAACCTCCCCCTCCAGCCAGCAGAGGTATGCTTATGGAATAACAAGGGTTCCACCAGGTAAAGTATCTACATTTCTAAAGGGTAATCAGAGGCCACCTAGGAAATAGCCCTTCTGTTTCCAGAACTAGCCCCTTTGTGTGCGCCTATATCAATGTGAGCATCCTTTGTCTCCACAACTGTCTTTCCTGCTCCATCCCTCAGGATACCGAGATAAACCAATCATACATTCAAATGTTTAGTGATCTTTCCTGACGCTAATCAGGGACCCATCTCCCACCTTTTGTCTAAACCTGGTAACCTATTCAACCTGCCCTGGCAGGACCATCACTGGTCATCAAACCCATTCAACCAGCTCCAGTATAGCCATTCAGCACCTGGCTAATCCTATCAATGCTATCATGAATCCAGACTCTGCCCCTCCGAAACCTTATTGGTCACACCTAGGGCTTGCCCCTCCTGATGCCACACCCCCAGGACCCCTTATTGGTCCAGATAATATTTTGTCTTCACCTGGGACAAGCCCTTCAAGACCTCCCATTGGTCTGCATTGTATTCCAAGGTCTATATCCATCTATGCATATGGCCATCAAGGTGGGCACTCAGGAGAGTGCCTATACTTTGAGTACACCCCCAGAGTCTCTTATTTGGGCCTTCCCATAGTGCCTAATGCTGGCTGTTGGTGCTATTCTCTTCAAGGACCTCTGCACATTTGGACAGGTAGTATCACCTTGTAACTGACCCCTCTATTTGCTATCAGTCACCTCAGCTTTCTTAGTTCTGTATTGCTTGCTCTTTTTGAATGCTTAGTGTGCTTGTAATCAGGGAAATTCTTTAATAAAACTTTAATTTACTCTTCAAATTTGGAATCTTCCTACTGTACCAGACCTTGATATAAACAAGTGTGTGATCCCTGGTACCCCTCTGGCCTCCCCTGCCACATAGCTAATTTCCCCCAACAACGAGGCAGGCCATTGGTGGTAGCAATGTGAACTCAACATAATGCTTGTCTTTCATTGAAAACAGAGTCCTAATTTCATTCAGGGCAAGGGAATCTGCCCCAAAGTAGTATTATAGGTAGAGAAAAATCATATTATGAGCACTTAATTTTTGAAATTTATGGCTACATAAAATAAAATCAGTTTCCTAGAAGATGGGAGGCTGAGCAACAGAGTCAAATGTATATTTTGAAAAATGACCATAACGAAGGAGGTTAATAATAGGAGGTGGGGAATATACTTACTTCCTGAGCAGATTTGCTTACACGCATCCATATAGAGACTCCCAGAATAATACAACCACACACCTGGCCAGGGAAAGAAAGTAATCAGCAGTCATTTATTGCAAAATGGCTATTTCCTATTATTTGTATTAAGCTTATTTGCATGGCCTCATAAACCTGTATATAGTTACCTTCACAAATCACAACACAGATTATTCCCGAGCATGTCTGTCTCTGATCTGTGCTGGGCCCTATGCCAGTCCATAAACCATGGCAGGTGTCCTTTGATCCTAAAGAGATTGCATGTAACTTTGGGCTGCTTTATTTTCCCCTTGTATTATTCCACAGAAATATTTAGCTGTTCTAAGGAGGAAGCCACAATATATACTCTGAAAATGCATTGCCTCTTGAAATTAACTGTTCGAGGTCCACATTTGAACTTTGACATTTCCATCCTTTTTTTTTTTTTTAGTAAATGCTTTATTGAACTCTCCTAAAAAGGAGAGGAGTTTCGCTTAAGGAAAAGAGGAGGGTATATAGTGGGATAGAGAAAAGATGAGTGATGTTAATTGTTGCTAAGTTAGTCTATTAGTAAAAGTGAAACATTCTTCTTCAGCTTCTTCTGTGAGTCGCCAATCCGCTTTCATCTTAACAATTAAAAGAATCCATGTTAGTATACTAGAATTGTCCCAATGGTGTTTTGTTAGTGTTGCTTCTTTCATCAGTGCTGGGGTTTTTTGACCTCGGCGTACAGGATGAATCTGCCTCGCTTCTCTCTGCAACTTGTCAGCTCCTCCTCCATCGCTTACTTCCTGGTTGTCAATTGTGAACTGTGTGCTAGTGTGCCTTTTTGCAAGCAGAGCAGATTTTAAGAATGGATATATCCGTTTTAAACATTGAGTTAATCGCTGCCATTCTCATCCGCAACTTTCCACCGTCATGCACATTTTTACGCTTCTCACAGTTTCGTTTAAAGTCACAGTCTTTCACGCTTTGAGTTAGTAACTGCGCCATCACCGGAAGTTCATCCGTTCTTCTTTGCTAGCTTCTTCACCCAGCGCCGACATCTTGCTTTTTTGTTTATCTTTAGCAAAAACTTGTGCTTTTACATCAGAGCTTGACTTTTTCCACTTTCATGCTTATTCTACCATCCATTTTCCGTTCTCCCCCCCCCCATATTTCCCGCTAAGAATTGTTGAGGGTGAGGGCAACCCCTCACTCTCTCACATCGTTTCGCTGGGGGGGGGGAGCTCACTCAGAAAGTTCTAACAGTTCATTCGAAGTTAAAGTCATTCGCTCTTTCGCTTGAAATACCAAAGGGCTTTTCTTCCAGTTTCCGTTCCCCCCCCCTTTTCTCCGCCAAATTCGTATATAACGAAAGTTTAAACGAGAATAGAAGGATCGTCTCCTTCTCTCATTTCTTATCGCTTGGGGTGGGGGGGGACGCGATTATTGCTTTTCGACTACGATTGACAACTCACAGTTCCAGCTGATCTTTTCCAATTTCATCGCTTTTTCACTTTTTCGCTTCATCACTCGGTGACGTCCGTAGGTTCCACTATACCCTTTACAGGGTCACTCATGCGGCGAGGTCCATAGGGGCAGGGCGAGGAGAAAGCCTCAATTTCCGACCGTTCGGCCGAGAAAGAGGCTCCCCCAAAAAAGCCCTAAAGCGCCCCGGATCCGAGCCCCTCTCCCCTGAGGTGCTCGTTTGGGTCTCCGCTCTTGCGAATTCCCTCCTCAACCGCGGGTGGGCGAGACGCCCCGGGAGCGACCCGGGGATGCGTCCGCCATTCGCGGAAGCCAAACCGGAAGCCGACATTTCCATCCTGAAATTAATTTTCTTCCTCCTTCTGATGTCACAACCCTGTTTAGGGCTCCAGAACAAGTTTCAGCAAAGGACCATTAATCCAGAGGAACTGCACAGTATTCTTCATAAAACTGTATATATTCAATAATAATGGACAAGTTAAACATTCTACCAAGATCTGGAGTACTTAATTCAGCTTTGAAGGGTTGCTAGTAAAGTTTTTTGCTCCTGACTGATCTATAAGAATCCAGGATGATACATACTCAATGTTCTCTACCAGTTCTGTTCTTAGGGTTTTTTTCCCATATCAGAGAGGAGACCCCCACAATGCAGTCCATGGGAAATAAGAAGCATAAACACTGGAGAAAATAATAGCTAATTGTGGGATTTGCTTTGCAAAGAAGTTATACTAAAACTGGCCTCTGGTAATTGAAATTATAGGATAAAGTAAGTGAATTTGGTTGCCCTCATCTATTTGGTGGATAGTTCAAATGTGAATTTGTTTTGACAGAAAACCATTCCAGTGTCCTTTCCCTCCTGACCCCCACCCCTGGTCACTGTGCAGTGCCATGTGAAACCCATGTCATTTTCACTTTAAATTTCTATTAAAAGATTTAGAACTCAGGGCCTAGGGAGCAAAAGGCATTGGCAGTTAGTCAAGTTGTCCTATATTACCCACCACAAAAGCCCCACCCCCTGCAATCAGTCTGTCCTGCAGCAGAGAGAGAAGGCCTAGAACTGAACTGAGGGAACTGCTGACTTCTTTGCAGATATGTGATGGGCCCAACCAGGGAAAACTTCCATATTAGAATTTCCCTTTTAGGTTATACAAGTGGGGACCTGCAAAAAACTTCCAGGGAGGGGGTATTCCCCCACCTTTGTTCCCTCCCCCCTTTCCCCCTACTTCTACGTCTCTCACTATTTCTCCATCCTGCCACCCTTATAGGGTTGCCAAGTGGAACTTACCTTGGCGGCAGGGAACTCCCGGGTGGATCCCGGAGCGCGCGCACACACCGCACATACATCACCAGGAAGTGACGTTATGATGCCGGGCACGCTGGGGGTGGGGCCACGACCATACAAGGGAAAACCATAGAGTTTTCCCTTGTATGGCTGTGGCCCCGCCCCCAGCGTGCCCGGCGTGCCCGCGTCACTTCCGGGTGATGCACACGTCAGGGAGGAGTTCCCCCCAGGGCCCAATCTGGCAGCGCCGGGGAATGGGCCTCTGGGGTGGGGGTTTCCCCACCCCCCGGGGGGACTTGGGATCCCTACACCCTTCTCTTACTCTTTTCCCTATGCCTGTCACTCTCTCTGCCCCCTACTCCATCACTCTCTCTTTCTCACTCTTTCTGCCCCCTAGCCCAGTCACTCTCTCTTTTTATGCCCCCACCTCATCACTCTCTCTCTGCCCCCATCACTCTCTCTTTCTGTCCCTTTTTGTCCCTCTACCCCATCAATGTCTCTCTCTCTTTTTGACCCCCACCCCAGCACTCTTTCTCTCTTTCACCTTCTCACTCTCTCTTTCTCTGTGCCCCCCCCCCGCTGAGGCTTCCCTTCCCCTCCCCTTCCTTGCCAGCTTGCCCAGAGCAGTTCCAAGTGAGCTGTTGAGGTTCCCTTCCCCACCCCCTGCAGCTCTTGGTGACTTGCCTGTAGCTGCTCTGTGTGGGCCTGCTGAGGCTTACCTCCTGCTGCTCTCAGCAGCTCCCCAGAGCTGTTTTGGGCAGGCCCATGAAGCTTTCCCCCCCCTGCCCAACTCTCATTGGCTCACCTGGAGCTGCTCCTAACAGGCTCACCACACACACCCATTTCAGCAGCTCACCTGATATGGCTCCAGGTGGGCTGGGTCCAGGGGCAACTCCCAGGCTCTGCTGCCATTGCTGACCACAGCCTCTGCTGCCAGAACCTTATTGGGGGGGATTTAAACCTCCCCCAAATGTTACATTTTACTTTTTAGATTTTTCTGCAATTATGGACTCGCCCAAGTTTGCAAAAAAAGCCTGTTTGTGGTAAGCATGCCCCCTATCTACAGGTTTAGGTATAGGGTGGCCAGCCTCCAGGTGGGGCCTGGGGATCTTCTGCTTTTACAACTGATCTCCAGCTGACAGAGATCAGCTCCCCTGGAGAAAATGGCTGCTTTGAAGGGTAGGATCTATGGCACTGTACTATGCTGAGGCCCCTCCCCTCCCCAAACCCCACCCTCTCCTGGATCCACCCCCAAAGTCTCCAGGTATTTTCCAACCCAGACTTGGCAACCCTATTTAGGTATCCGCAATTAGGTGGCACACTTGGGAATTACATATACAGATTATAAAGGAAGGGTTTGTCAAGCTGTTAGGTATTTTTTAAAACTCTTTCTCCTGAGACAGTCTGGCCTGCAGCAGGAGAGAGAAGGCCTAGAGGTGAACTGAACAAACTGCTAATAAACTTTCTTTGCAGGCCCAAGCCAGTAGCAGCAAGGGCCACTGAAAACCAAATGGGGAAGAAGCAGCCCTGCACTTCTTTAACATTTTGGACTTTTTCTTTTCCTTGTCCTCCTGGGCACTGTTTGCTAGGATTCACTTTTGTTCAGAGTGTGCTTTCTGAAGAACACTGAGTATCCTTACAAATGTTGCTGTCTTCACAGCCATTATGATTGAATTTAGTTTTACCTCTAGTAGTAAAGCCATTGGGTTTATAATAAGTGTTTTGTTACCTTGAAACCTATAACGCCTTGATTTTTTTTTCCTTTTTGAAATAATTTCACGTTTGCTTGTCAAGCCACAAGGATGCTGAATGCCTCCCCCAACTCTCCAATTGGAAATGTAGTTTACAGAGAGCTCTATGTAGCCAGGGTTCTGCTGGGTTACACATGTCATATTTCCCATCTTATAAAAACATATAACTGGTGTTCCAGTGCCTCCATGGTAAGAGTAAAAGGTAAAGGTTCCCTTGCTCAAAAGCCAGTCAAATCCGACTCTAGGGTTGTGGTGCTCATCTCCATTTCAAAGCCGAAGAGCCAGCGCTGTCCGGAGACATTTCCGTGGTCATGTGGCTGGCATGACTAAACACCAAGGCGCATGGAACGCTGTTACCTTCCCACCGAAGCGGTCCCTATTTATCTACTTGCAATTTCTTGCTTTCGAACTGCTAGGTTGGCAGGAGCTGGAACTAGAGACGGGAGCTCACTCCGTCATGCGGCACACTCGGGTCTCGAACTGCTGAACTACCGACCTTCAACAGCCTGCAGTTCAGCGTCTTAACCACTTGAGCCACCACAGCTCTATGGTAAGAGTAGCATAATGTAAATATAGTTGGGTTTTTCTTCACATTATTAACCAGGAGAGTATGAAACTGAAAGGAAACACCCACTCTAAAAACTGATGGATATACAGAGTTGAGGGGAGCAGGAGGACAGGTGCTCAATACTGGTTATGTATTGATGAGTAAAAGGCATTCTGCGCCTGCTCAAATGCATGCATTCCTTCATACAGGCAAGCTACAAAAAGGTATTTCGTAATCAGTCATTAAAATGGCAAGTGGCGGGGGATGGGTGGGACTTACCAGAGGAGAGAGGGAGGCCCAGGCAACACTGCCGGCAATGTGGCTCTGTCACTTTTGGCATGCACCAGAAGTGATGTCATTACGCTGTGACATCATGGTGATGCTGTGGTATTTGGGCAAAAACTCTACGGTAAAAATGGCTTTTGCCCAAATACCAGAGTGTCCCCCAGACATCAGCATGATGATGCCACTTCCTGTGCATACTGGAAGTGATGTCGCCAGTCACATCATCTGAGCCTTCCTCTTTCTCCTGGTAAGTCTCCCCCACCAGCCAGCTGATTGGCAGCGGGGACAGGGCTTAGCAGTGGGGGACTCCCCCACACACCTCATCAAGGGGGCTGGCAAACCTGATCCCAGTCTGAGTGAAAATGGACCTTTATTCTTCCGCTGCTGCTTCCCTCCCATGGCCACACCTACTCCAGAGGAAAGTTTCTCCACAGCAAAGAGGAGATGGCAACCAAAAAAGTATTTACAACTAAATCTTGTATTATTTTTCTTAGGGTTGCCAGGTCTGGGTTGGAAAATACCTGGAGACTTTGGGGGTGGATCTGGGAGAGGGCAGGATTTGGGGAGGGGAGGGGCCTCAGCAGGGTCCAATGCCATAGAATCCACCCTTCAAAGCAGCCATTTTCTCCAGGGGAGCTGATCTCTGCCAGCTGGAGATAAAAATGGGAGATATCCAGACCCCACCTGGAGGCTGGCAACCCTAGTTTTACTGTCCAATCTTCTCCTTTGTTGCTGTGAACATTATAGAGAACGGAAACAAAAAAGCAGACAAAAGGTGAATGAGAATGGGTTTTGTCAGGAGGGGGTTAACTGACTCAGCTGCAGTTGGCTTGCACCTTCCCCTCCCTATTCCTTCCCAGGTTATATGAAAAGAGACTGCTTGCACATTTTCTCTTGTATCTCTGCAACAAAAAGAGCTAGAGATTTTGTTTAAAAAGATGAAAGCAGGGAATTCAGAGGTGGGGCATGACACATTTTAGGGAGGCATTGGCCCCAGATGGCCTTGCTATTCCTATAGCCTGCAGCTATTCTGTGACCAAATTGTTTTCAAACTAAACAGAATAATTAAGGCAGTTGAATGATATATTAACACAGCAGTAGAGTATGACAAGTAGGCTCTTTGAGCTCTTTTCAGACATCATAAGGATGCATACCAGGAGCACGTAACACCCACAATGCTCCAAAAACACACACATTTCATCTGATTAGGGCATCACACATGCTTTCAGCTTTGTTACATGCTAGACAAGATCCAGGGTGTTGCATAGCATATACTGAAGCAGAAAAAGATGTATGGTACTTATTAAGGTCAAATAGTGACTGTGTTTGAGTGTGCTTATTGGGGGCACCACAGGTAGCATGTGGTAACATGTGAAATGTAACATATTTATTTATTTATTTATTTTTCACATTTATATCCCGCTCTCCCAAGTGGGCTCATGGCGGCTAACAAGGGCAGGGTAATTAGCCGTGCCATAATTAAAAACATATAAAACATAATAAAAACATCCAACATGTGAAAAAGGCTACAGAAAGACAAGGGACAATCCTAAAAGGATAACAACCAAGCAGCAAGGCTTGTTGGGAATGGACAGGGAGGAAAACACCATGAAAGAACCCATAGTCACTAGAAATCCAACAGATGCACAGATCTGGCAAGATCCCATGGTGGGCTAGGAGGCAGGGCAGAAGTTTCTGAATAAATTCCATTTTTTTAGACTATTCCACACCCTTCTTTACAATTATGTTGCAACATTATTTGCTGAGGATGGCAAACACTGCTGGACATACTCCTAACACCTGTGCCCATACAAGACACCTAATTTCCCTGATCCAGAGAAGGCAGTGCATACATACACATTCAGAATCAGACATCAAGCATACAAATTATTTCTGAGCATACAGTTCCCATGTCTGAAACTACTGGGACTTAACTCCATGTAGTCACAGTGGCATTAAACCCCAAGTGCTTTAATTTACATAGGTTGTAGATCTGGCTTCTGGCTTCTTGCCTTCCCCTCCCCAACTATATTTACTGTTAGACTTACCCAAAAAACAAAGTTGAAGATGAACATGGAGTACTTCATGCAGCTGCTCACGCCTGCCATTTTCTTTTCAATCCAGAAACGCAAGGATGGTCAAAAGAAAGCAAGAGTTCTCCTCAAAGAATTCCTGTTGCCAGCTCAAACGCTCGTAAGCCACTTCCTTCACTGCAGCAACAGAAAGGGAAATTACTGAGAGAGAATAAACGATTATTTGACCATGCATATCCGGTAGATAAATATTAACCAGGCTATTTTCAAAATGTACCAGCTAGGGTTATCTCTGACATGCTCTTTGCAATTCACTGAAGCAACGTATTTTACGCTCACTTCCTACTTCCTGATTCTCTTCCTCCTCCACCCCCTCCATCCTTGCAATGTATTTTACAGCCAGAATCTTACTTGTCCCATGCGCCCCAAAAGTAAACATATATATAGAATGAGATCAAGTGAAGGTGAGGAAACAAGAGTGCAAAACTTCAGTGGAAGAGCAGTATTAGGGCTAAGATAAGAGAATGCATAGCAGTTCCTGACATTAATGTTGGTGCTGTTTTGTATTACCTTAGACAACAGATACATGGTGTCTGTTTTTGCCAGAAGAATGCAAGTGGCTACTGCCACTGTTACTGTTTGTTACTATGTTAAGGTTTATCTAAACCAACTTCGGTATTCAGTGTCCCAGGGAAGAACACAGTAGGGCTTACCTCACTTTTAGCATTCCTTACAATGCAATTGATGTTTCACCTTTTCGGGGATCTTTCTCTGTACACACAAATGAAGCAAACAAGTGTAAAATCTGTTTTGTTAGTTGCTCCATTTATAACTATAACTATATATCGCTGATAGTTAAGATGCATTTCAAGATATAAAAACAATTCAGAGAGTATGACATCCAACAAAAATGCAATAGGGCCAGGATAATAGAATTAGAAAATAGTGCAAACAAAAAACTGTCTGAGGCATGATATACCAGGATTCTTGGAAGTCCGAGACCTAGCACATGCTTGGATGACCCTTGCCCTTCCTGGTTGCTTAAATCTTCTGTGGGGGGGGGGGGACTGGCAGACTGGGTACAGGAGACAGTAAATGCCTCCTTGAGAAAGGGAGTAGCAGCCCCTACCTGGAACAGGTGGTGAAACGTCTACTCCCAGGGCTCTTTTTGTAGAAAAAGCCCAGCAGGAACCCATTAGCATAATAGGCCACACCCAGCTACAGAAAGTCCTTACCATATTAGGCCACACCCTGACAATGCAGATCTACCCTCACAAAGGAGGGAGAGCTTGTACCTAAATAAACCTTGGTTTTAAAGGTGCCACTGGACTGTTTTGGATTGCAAGCTGGGTGGGGGGACGTGCAGATCTAGAAAGAAAGAAAGAAAGAAAGAAAGAAAGAAAGAAAGAAAGAAAGAAAGAAAGAAAGAAAGAAAGAAAGAAAGAAAGAAAGAAAGGAAGGAAA